CTGAATATGTTAATTTTTCCATTTGCTTTTGTTTACATGAGCTTATTCCACCCCCTTCTCTTCGAGTGAATACCTTTCAGCTTAAAACATACTGTTATTCTATTAATAGATTTCTACACCATAGTTGTTAGCATTTTAAAAAGCAAAACCAAAGTGAGTAAATATATGAAGTGTAAACCTGATAAATAAAGCACTTTGTTGATGCAAGTTTTACCAGGTTTCAGGCACTTAGGCATTAAGATTATTCAGATAAAGTATTCATTGATTCCTTTAGCAAAAATTTAGTCAAATGTCAACAATATGCTAGACACTACTGATTTAAAAATAAATGCCACATTTCCAAGCCCTGGGGAAATCATAATCAAATAGGAACTACAAATACGTAAGCCAGTAATTACAATCGGGCACAGGTAAATATCTAGAAAAGAAGCCTTCCTGGGGGAAGGTATACTTAAAAGGACGAATAGTTAGATACCATGAAAGCTGAGTAAGGGAGAGAGTAGTATAGGCAGAGACGACAGCAGGAGCAGAGGTGACAGTCAGTAAAGTGTTTAGGGGGGACTCAGGAAGAGCCACATGCATTCTGTTACATAATTTTCATTTTATCCTGTTAGTAACAGTGATGGCCATATAACGGTGCCTTGAAAGGGTGATTATTGGGTGCAGAGAGGGCAGGATCAGATTTACTTGTTTGAACATTAATCATGGCCATCAGGTCAGTTCTGACTCACAGAAACTCTAGGTCAGTGTAGAACTGTCCCATTGGGTTTCCAAGGCTGTAAAGCATTGCAGAAATAGACTCCCACTGAACATCTGGTGGGTTCACACTGACAGATTGCTTAGAAGACAAGTATTTAAAAACTGTGCCACCAATTTCCCTGTTTAACTTTACCCAAAACCCAAACTCGCTGCCGTCAAATTGATTCTGACTCATAGTGACCCTTCATTAGATTTCCAAGGCTGCAAATGTCCATCTTTTTCATACAGAGCAACTTTGGTGCCTTTAAACCTCCAGCTTTTTACTTAGAGCTCTGGTGGTCTACTGGTAAGGATTTAGGCTGTCAAGCCAAAGGCATGCAGTTCTAATCCACCAGCTGCTACTCAGAAGATTGCCTTCCCGTGCAACTCACAGCCTCTGAAAACCCTCTGGAGAATCTGCTATGAGTTAGTTACAACATGATAGTGCATAACAACACTAACAGCCCGACGCATTAGGTGCTGCACCACCAGGACTCCTTGTTTGAATACTATTGCAGCCTAAAAGATGGATGTAAGAGAAATAAGGCTGGAAGCAAGAGACTAATTTGGACCATTAGAGTAGATCAGGAAAGAGATACGGATAACTTGGAGTAAATGAGGGCAGTAATAGTTAAGGTGGAGTAAAAGACATCAATTCAAGCATTACCTGCAGGGAAGAGTCACAGTACATGGTGATACAGCAGCTGTAGCAATCAAGGTGAGGACTGACAAGAGCTAACGGTGATTCTTGGGGTTCTAGCCTGGGAAGCGGGGTGAGTGGAGGCCATCCCTACAGCAGAAATGAAGTTTCGTGTATGTGAAAACGATGGCTCTGGTGTGTGGACTATGCAGAATTTGAAATGCCTCTGACATTCCACTCAAAGTAGTTGCCTTAACAAATCAGAGAGTGACTGTTTCTCTCTGAAATTTTCTAAAGGAATTTATCAGTTACATAAACAAAATGTATCTTTTATAGCCATAACCGTCTTTTTAACAACTCCTCCCTAACGCCCCCTATAAAAAGCCACTACTTTTTGTTGCACATTATTCTTTATATTTCATAAAATAAATAAAAATGATACAATACTTTTAAAGATAATTTTGCACCCTTATTCGTTGGCCTTCAGAGCCCTGTTGATCAGTTATACACTGCAGTGCTGAGAGGTTAGTGGTTTGAATCCTCCAGCTGCTCTCAAGGACAAAGACATTTTGTTGCCATAAAGATTTATAACCTCAGAAATTAGAGGGTTGCCTTGGGTTGAAATGGGTTTTACGGCAGTGGGTTTTATTCTTTGGACTTAGGGCATAATGAATTTTGCCGTTTCCATGCTCCAACCTTTTCTTAATAATGTAGATTTGGGATCAGTGGGACAGTGGAAGAGAACATGCCTCAAGCCTAGGAGGTATTTCCTACAGAACAGTCACCGGAGTAACAGTGTGGACAGAATTAATACCCAGCCTACCAGAGCCGTTACTCCCAATGGCTGCACTTGGCCAGATTTCTTTGTTCTGATGTAATGATTTAAAAACCCTGCTTTATTCCTTTATTTAAGCAAATCCTTCAAGACCAGAGTATCTTCCCTTTCTCTGGTGGCAGGAATAACTTTGCTGAAAACCTGAACCAAATTAAGTTTTATGATTTTTTCCCTTTGGCCCAGATTCATATGGCTCTGGGCAGAAGCATAGAGTAAAAAAATACAAACAATAAATTTGCTATAGAAAGAATAGTCAGATTGATCAAGCCAAAATAATCCATCATCAAAAGATAGTGATGTACTCAGTATAAAAAGTACGCCCACTCAAATATGAATTCAGTTCCCGAGGCAGGACACCCAGGTTATCACAGGATTTAGGACATGAGGGCAGTGCCATCTGCACTGCTGAGATTCTTGTTCTCCAGTGCCCCAGAGAATCCCAAAGGTCAGTAGGGCCTCATCACAGGACCCAAAATGAAGCATGAGGTTGAGACAACACAGAAAAGTGCCTAGTGATGGGGTAACTGGCTCAGCACTTCGCCTAAGGGCATCAGACTGACTCCAGGTGGTCATCGCCTAAACTCAATCAGGAAGGTTGTTAGATCTCCAGACTGTCTCTGATCTGTGTGTAATTAAATCCCATCCAAACACCATTTACTCCTTTTTGTCCACTAATAAATGCTGCTGCTGCTGCTGCTGCTGCTGTGGTTGTGATGTGCCATCAAGTTGGAACTGACCTATAACTGACTCTCTAGAGGGTTTTCAGAGGATGCAAATCAAATAGAAGGAGATTGCCATCTATCGCTTGAGAAACAACAGCTGGTGGACTCGAACCACGTGCCTTTGGATTGGCAGTGCCAATGGCTGTCAGAAATAAGAAATGCCTATAGGATTATCTGGGAGTAACTTCTACGGCATGACTGCAGCTAGCATGTGTGGCAAAATGGCTTTCTGAGTCAGGTCAATTCCTATTACTTAGTTTCTGCCAACCGTGATACACAGCAATTATTCCCAGCAGTTATCCTGGGCACCAAGACAAGCAAAAAGACTCTTGCAGCTGTGGGCTCACCTCCTCCTCATGCAGTCCAGCCCTCCCTTCCCTTCAGGCTGGGACAGGCTCAAATAGGAAGTGCCTTGGGAAGCAGCAGGAGGCAGCCCAGTTAGTCCCCATGTGACAGTAAGGGATGTTGAGATGTTATCAGCATCAACTCTTTTTAGACCATCAGTATAAAGCCAGGCAGGAATATTCTATTACTCTGCAATAAGGAGGCTTTACGCCACATAAGACCACCATCTCTTAAGTAGTGAATGAAGCAGCCTCCTTTCTTTTATTATTAAGCACGTATACATTGTTGCCAAGCATCATTCCTGCTCCCAGGAGATGATATGTGGAGAATGCCCATAGATCAGACTCTGTTGACTAAGCCTCTGCTCCTATGAAGGTGCTCCCTGTTGCTGCTCCAGAAGCTCCTTGGATAGCCCAGACCACCTCCACAGCACCATGGAAGGGTGTTTCCAGAGGCAGTAAGATTGCCTAGAAGCATGGACTTTGGAATCAATTTTTCTATTCTAAATCTGAGACGATCTATAGGATCCTCACTGTCTTTAAACCTCCCCATCCTCTCATGAGCAAAACAGAAATTTTTAAAATTCCTATATGTTGTGGGCTAATTTGAATATTAATCGAGGTAACATAGCATGCTAAGCAAAATGGCTAGAGTTGAATACTCAAATGTAGCAACTATTACAGTGACTATGTTTTATAACTGTGAAGATGATGACCATCGTGGTGACAGAAAGTAGAGAGGTGATCTAAGAGAGAGACAAGTTTCCTCTACCCCTTCTCTACAAAGCTGGCAGCAGCAAGAGTACAAGGCAGGTGTCCACAATGACATGCTTACCCAGCTAAATAGCTCCGCTTCCAGGCCAGTGTTGGAAACCAGTGGGATAACAGCACATTAGAAGCAGCACAGCTTGCACACTGTGGTGATTTCTGGAAGGTAACCATTGTCTCCTTATTGTGTTTTCTGTGCTTATGTTTTCTAGAGGCTGGGTTGGCTACTGACTTAAACAGGATTCTTTGTTGAATAGAAAGTGAACTAAGAAAGACTTTCCTAAGCGAGTGTAACTCCTACCTGAGGAGGGAGCTCTGGGGATGTGGTCTGTAGGCAGCTGTGCTGTTAACCCAGAGGCCTCACCCTTTCTGGTGGTTCAAATCCACCAGCAGTTCCATGGGGAAAGATGGGCTCCCACCTCCTGTGTGATTTACAAACTTGGAATCCAAATGCACTGTTAGCTGAGTCAGCTGAGACTCAACGGCAGTGAGTTTGAATTCTTTATCTTACCTTTGACTCTCATTTCCACCTGATACTTCCAAGTATATAAAATTTCAGCTACTGTTTATCCCCAGCAGATAAATCTTGCCCATATTCATACTTCTAGGTAGATGGTTCTTGCAGTGAAATGCCTGTGAGCTGATGAGTATAGCTCCACTCTCCCATCTAGTTGAAGCCTCCGGTGAGTCTAACAGTTACCGCTGTAGGAGTCTCAGTTCCAGTTGAGCTGGCAGTGGTTTTCTTTAACTAGTGTTGGTATTGCATTTCCTTTTTTGTTTTACCTTGTTTTCCTTTATCCTGTACTAGCACAGCCTAGAACTTCTTGACCTGAATTCCCTTCCAAACTTCCCATTTTACCCAAGGTGACCATGTTAGTAAGTGGTGGGCATCTCTCCAGCTTTTGAAAAATTCATTCAACCTCTTTTCTTTTGCATCTCTTCTGCTTTGCCAGGTCAAGCTGGGAACTGCCTGACTTGAGGGAAGGGAGAGTAAAAGCCATCAGTGACTCAGATGGGGTGAGCTACCCTTGGTATGGGAACACCACAGAAACTGTGACCCTGGTTGGCCCCACCAACAAGATCTCCAGGTTCTCCGTCAGCATGAATGACAACTTCTACCCCAGTGTGACATGGGCAGTGCCAGTGAGTGACAGCAACGTGCCACTGCTCACGAGGATCAAGAGGGACCAAAGTTTCACGACGTGGCTGGTGGCCATGAACACTACTACGAAGGAGAAGATCATTCTGCAGACCATCAAGTGGAGGATGAGGGTGGACATTGAGGTGGACCCTCTTCAGCTCTTGGGACAACGGGCCCGGCTGGTGGGCAGGACTCAGCAGGAGCAGCCCCGGATCCTGAGCCGGATGGAGCCCATCCCCCCCAACGCACTAGTGAAACCCAATGCCAACGATGCCCAGGTCCTCATGTGGAGGCCCAAGCGGGGCCCACCCTTGGTCGTGATCCCGCCTAAGTAGAAGCCGACTGGTCTGACTCTGTGGGGAGCACTCGCTGCTGAGACACGCAGTGAGCTTGCCAGGGGTGGCAGGAGCCAAACTGAGTTTCTGAGCCAAAGCAGCCCTCTCGGTTTGTCAGCCTTTGCAGCCACTTGTCAAGAGTAGGGCTGCCTTTTGGGTGGTAGAACCATAATCCTTAGGAAAAGTCCCTTCCTTTTAGGAGTAAATGAAATCACTGATTTGACAGACTTGCTGTGATTACCATGCAAGTAGCCATATTTTGGAGCTGACCAGGAAGATTCCTATATCCGAACTATTGACCATTTCTTTCCTGTGAAACGCAAGGGATGGAAATGAAATTAAACAGTGCCTGTGGCAAATGCTGCTTCCCAGCCATTACAAGTGGAAGTGAAAACATCCACACCAGGTGTTCGTAAGACAGTCCCACTATCTGACTGGAGGGTGCTGGGGAAAGGGCTGAGTAAAAAAGTGGCCTGGGGAAGAGAATGAGTAATGAGGAGAGAGGATGTTGTTACAAATTAATGCCTGTGCATTTCATAGTTGATCATCAGATCATACACACACACTCATTAGAATGAAAGGAACACGGAACACTTAGAAAACTGGAGAGTTGTTGCCATTTGCTCCACCCTGGGGTGGAGCCTCCTGGGAACTGTCCAAGGTGCTGATGTGAATGAAACCATGAGAACTCTCAATGGTTGTTCCATCTACTGACCCCTTCCCAGAAATTATTTATTCAAAATCATTTGAATCACAATTTTGGGATACATGGTTCCTGTCTTCTGAAGGGGCTATAATGTTTGGGGTATATACCATATTTTGAGTGAAATCCAAATTGTGATTGTGTTTACAGCTGCTTCGTCTATTCCCATCACCAGCCCTAAATTTGCAAAACTATAATTGTTTAATAAGCCATGAGTCCATCTGGGGTTTCAAGAACATTCCAACAAATATGAACAGTATCTTCATTCTTTCTCTAGTTTTCCAATGATTTTGAACATACAGAATACACCCCCGTGCACACAGACCCGTGTGTGCCTGAATGCATATAGCATCATAACTAGCATATTTGCCAGCAGTGCCTGCGTATGTCATTAGCCTTTGAGCATCCCCAGGACACACACCGAATATTCCTATACATTTCTTTTTATCTGTTTCACAGAAGCTCTACTTGAACTGCTTGAGCATTTGTGAAAAACTGCTTCACATGGCTTTATTTCAGAGCTCTTTGATGAAAATCTGAGCTCTTCACGTTAAACAATCCTGTATTGCTGAGATCCAACCAAATAAAGAAGGGAGACTATGTTTCCTTTGGTCAGAAACTTTTGAAAGAGTTTCCTGTCTTTACAGTAAGGATTTTCCAGCTTCTCTATCTTAAATCGTACTTCCCTCCCCTTTACAATGATATTTTCCCTTTTTTGTTAATAGTACAAGGGCTCCCTTTCCAAAAATTCCTCATTCATACTAATCTTTAAAACCCTTATGGTGTCATTGTGGATTTATGAGTAGATATTGCCAGTATGATCTCAAGACGGCAGAGGTGAGATTCAGAATGGTTATTGCAGTCCATGGTATGCTCCAAAGATCTATATCCCTTGAGAGTTTGGAGGCAAAAGAAAAGCAGGAGGACATTCTTGTTCTTTTCATTTGCAGTGCAATTGTGCCTAATTTCCTTCTGATTCCTGGCCCAAAGTGTAGTGCTTATCCTATGAGAGGGTTAACAGAGCCTTTCCAAATGATGTCATACCAATCTCACACCCCCACTACTAGCTCCTCTCTTATAGATTAGTTATTGATGGAAAGTGGCACTATTTATAACAGCACATTAATGACATGTCACTAACTTGCTGAAGACCCGGAGACATGCCATTTAGAAATAATTGAGCTGCTACATTTGGATTCTTCTGTCCTTTCCCCTGCTCCCCTGTTCTTTTATGGGAGAGGTAATTCCAGAGGGCTCCATAGCTGAAGTATAAAGCTGCTTATTCCTCATTCTGATGTCAGAGAGAGCATAAATTACATGTCGCCTTTATGGGATTCTAGAGAGTGGGAACTCTGGAATCTAGTTCACAAAGAATAGATATGTCTTTTCTTGGGAATGGCATAAGGATGCTAAAGAAGGAAAGAATATTATTTCATGTGTGTCCCACATTCAAAAAAACATCTGATATTTAAAAATAAAAATTTTTGAGAAAGAAGATTTACATTACAAAGTCTTAACATAAAATCTCTGTCTTCTCATTCCCTTTGTCCATTACAATATGATTTTCTGTATTTAAACAAAACTTTTTTTTTAAAGCATACCTGTATGGGCAGACCCTAGGTTGTGAATGTCTAAGATACAAGCAAGAGTTACAAACCAACCCATTTATGGGGTATAAAAAACTTTCTATTAAATTTTTTAGGTACGTGCAATGGTTAATAACAACAAATGAATGATATGTTTCAATACACATCAAAACATTTCTGTTGCTATTATAGTATTATGCTAAAAGTGTTTAGAGTATCTGGAAGTGTTCCTCTGTTGTTTTCATGCTCAAAAGGTACATTATATATTATATATGACACACATTTAACTAACTTATATTAGATACAAACTACCTGTTTTGGCAAATTAGATTTAAAGACAGACTCGGGAACAGAAGCTATTAATAACCCAGGGATCATTGTATTTATGCAAAGTTCAGCATACTTAACTAGAGATTTTTCCTCCTGAAAACTCAGATTTTTCAAAGAAATGACCACAAAACAATTTATGGAAAATTTTGTGATGACAAAATGAGAAAAGTAGTTGGGAAAGTACTTATAAAAGTTCGCACACTACGCAGGTGTCTGTTCTGATTGTCAGTGAAACCATCCTGAACTCTAGAGTTGGGTCTTTCAATTGTGAAACTAATCTGGCAGAATTCTCTATTGTCTTTCAACCAATTATTGTAAAGTGAAAGTTATTTTACAGGGAAATGACCCCTTTTCTCTCACTAATCCTTGCACCATTACCTTTCAGCTTAGTCAGGATATTGCCAAATGAGACGCTTTCTAACATGAAAGAATTCGCTTTGACACCTCTGTCAGGGTCACCTCCAAACTCTCAGCAGACCTTACTTTCCCTGAGATGAGCAGCATCTGACACCAGATGCCATCATGTGAAAGGGCTTACTTCTGTGCCTTAAATATTAGTTGGAGTTTCAAGACTGTGTCCAGATTCACACAAAGACATATACATGCATAGTTTCTTGATGGCACAAGAGATTTGAATTCTTATTCTAAAAAGAATGTTTCCTAAAGTCATAGCGTTTGTTGGGGGTTCTTCCCCCCTCCTTTTTTTGGTTGTCGTTTGAACATAATGAAGCCAGTTAATCCTTCATTCAATCATGCACTTTCCGCACCATAATACTAATCTCTGTAACCACAATGGAATCACATATTCCAGCTTCCTCCCTGTAGTTCTGGTTTCCACTAATCCTTCTTTAAATCTCTCTGTCATAAATTCTCAAATTAAATCACCTTTGAGGTCTCTTAGGCCATCATCTCAAAGGAAACAGAGGCCCAAATCAATGACGTCATCTGTTCACAATCCCATACCTAGTGAACAACAGAGCTGAGAGAAGACCCCAGGCTCCCAGATCTCATACCACTGCACTGCCTTCCATGCCTGGAACCCACAGTCCTCCTCTAGTCTGCAGCCAGAAAGAATATTGTCATCCTCCTGTACATTCATCACTAACCAATTATCCTAAAAACTAGAGAGAGACAAATGAAACCATTCTTTAAAAGAATGGGTGAAAAGCACTATTACTGTTGCATCAAAAAGTAAATGTTCCAGATTGCCTTTTATTTGTAGCCACAGAATTGAAATTGAACTCTTACTCCAGGCTCTCTGCTGCATGCATTTTACTCTGGTTTGATCTTTCATTTGTGAGAATGTTAGAGCCCAGTCTCCACCCACTCCACGGACCTGTTTACAACTCCCTCTCTCCTGGTGCTAAGAATGGCATCTCCTAGATCAAAATCATGTTCTCAGCAGCAAAATAATTCTGAGCAGTAAAATAAAAGAACTATGATTTCTATTTTTCTAAAGGCTTCCACATGCAGTCTTACAAGAAATGTAATGTTTTAACTGTTGTTGCTGTAGTTATGTATCATGGAGTCAATTCTGACTCACTGTGACTCTGTGGCAGAGTAGAAGTACCCCATGTAAGATTCCCAAGACTTTACAGAAGTAGACTGCTGCATATTTCTCCCATGGAGCAGCTGGTGGGGGCAAAACCATTGACCTTTTGGTGAGGCATTTACCCACTGTGCTACCAGGGCACCTTTTAGTAAAACCAAACCTATTGATATGAAGTCAGTGCTGACTGATAGTAACCCTTTAGGACAGTGAAACAGCCCATAAGATTTCCAAGGCTGTAATCTTCATGGAACCCGACTGCCACAGGATTCCCAGATGGAGAGGCTGGTGGGTTGGAATCAGCAGTCACGTACATTCAAGGTGCACACTCAGGGATCTGTCCTGTCAAGAGGGCACAGAAGGAAAGATTGCAAGTCACTCACATTCAGCCATGTAGTCCCTACCCTTGTTCTAAGTGGACATACTAAAAATAAGAGAATAAATTCTGTTTCCTTCCACGGAGAGGTTGTAGACTCCAGGGAGTTTGGCCCAGAAAAATGCCTGTCGGGGGCTGCAGGGTGGGTGAACTGACTATCACTTTGCACCACTTAGCACTGTCCTGGTAATTAGTTGGAGTGGGAAATCTGCTGGTCTCAGAATCCCTGTAACATCATGAACACAGAAGGGGAAGGAGAGCTAGCAGCCTGCAGCTGAGGTCCCTGGCCCTGCCACTCACCACCCCTGAGCAGGAGCAGGGCCAGCCTGGGAGGTGGAAGCAGGGTGAACAATGGCTTTCCGAGCTCTGTTTGGCACGTTTAACATTCTTGTTAGAGCTGAAGGCACAATTAAACATCACCAGAGCCAGCTCCCAACTGAGTTGCAAAGAAAGATGTAAACACACACACTTACGGGCCCGCTACACTCACACACTCTTAAGAGCTAAAAAGAAAATTAATCAAAAACCCAATGAACGCCTGAACTCTATAATTAAGCCTAAATGATCCTTAGATAGAAAGGGAGCTGAGTGAGCAAGCTCAGTGCACACAGATATTTTTACCCTAGAGCCTTATTGCCACTAATTTCTTTTGAAATCTTGGTGCATCTGGTTTCATTTT